CMWWWGCCTGYTTTCTCCCTCAAGGGGAACTACACTCAATGAAATTYAAGATCGTAGTTTATATTTGAACATCTTTTCAAGATATTTTTTTTCTCAAAATAATTAATATTTAATATGAAAACTAATTTTATTACCTAACTAYGGTCTTTGCTATGTTTTCCAATGTATTCTTTACTACATCAGGAAGATGATCTCGTATCATTCTGGGACCTATAAGTACWCGATAGTAGATCTCTTTGTCGGCCCATAGTAGCTCGTAGCTGGAATCAGTTTGTGGCCTGGAAATGATAAGATATCTCTTAATATCACATGAGCTTGTTATTTTCACTTTCTATAACATTTCCTTGAATAATAGGTACTAAAAAGAGTATAGTAGGTCTGTGTGCTGGGGATGGAGGGTTGCGAAACCCTCTGTGAACCCCATGATAACACATTTTTGGACAGACAAAAAAATTAGAAATCCATATGGAACCACGTCATCAAACCCCTGACCCCTGCCGAGCAGGGAACAAGGATTCTATTGTCTGTGTGTAACAGTAGTTAATGCTGGAATCTTTGCATAGAGAGAAGAAAAAACAGCCTTCCCCTCCTTTCCCTAGAGCCATCATCCTTCTTATTGAGCCACCCCCCTYTCCTTCTCATGCCTCCTGTCTCAGACCTGCCCTTTCTTCCTTTTGTTATCCCCCTCTCCTAGAGCTGCTTCAATCCGTTTTCCATTTTTCCATGTGTAGACTCATCATCTCTCCCACTTCCTATTCTTCATTCTCATCCAACCTTATTCCTCTCTGCCCTATACCCGCCAACCCTTTCATTACTACTACTCTCATGGACCTACAATTCCTCCCCCTACCCCTCCCCCCCTAGATCTACCTCTAGACCATAATAAGGTATTTAGAGTTAGTTATTACCTGTTRCGGTTCTTTTCATAAATCTGCAATATTTTCCCAGCAGGATAAAGTTGTACAAGTTGACTTCCAGAGGATTCACCATTACCTGACTCTCTTACGTTTTCACCTGTGTTTTCCTCCTCAGCAACGTAGCTTGCCCCAGGTCCTCTGTCTACTGTATTAAGTGGCTGTCTTTCTCCTAACAAAGGTTCCATTAAGTGGGRAGGTGAGAACTCATCAGGATATATTGGGTAGATATCTAGCGTACAGCAATTACCTATTGTTAGCATCTTTTTTAATGTTACAGAGACATTTTTATTCCGAAAAGGATTACAAGAAGATTTATCATTTTTWTATTACTAAGTGTATATTTCRGCCTTAATCCAAAGAGCATCGACGGCATACTTACACTTGACATTTTTATTAGATAATTACTAGGACAAGGCATGGAAAAATGCATTATGATTACCATTAATAGCAAGCCTCTCTAAAAATCACTACTAGAAAGCAACAATGGAGAAAGTATAGCACAAATCCCTTGAGAGACATAGAGCAATTGCTTCTAACAAGCTCACCTTGAATGCTTGTTTTCTTTCCCAAAAAGAAACACAATGCCCTCCAGAARCCAGTCATTAGCACACGGTACTGAAAAYACAYAATAATCAGTAGTGGAATTGTCATTTGAGATTATACCAGTACTCAGATGATTCAAAAGCATTCTTTTAAATATCTTACTTAAGCAACATTTTATGAGACACATTTAAAATGACAGGAAGTTCTACTTTTTTGTAAGTATGTATGAGAAAATATGAATTCAAAGGTTAGTATATTTAATACCTTTGGTAAGTTACAGTTCAAGATAACTGTTTCAAGGTCTCTTTTTAAGGTGTTTAAATTCTTGACTCCCATTCTACAAATAAGAAAAAAAAAAGAAAATATAAAAAACGCTGATCCCCCAATATGCAAATTGATTGATATACAACATTTGGATTACCTTGGTACAACATCATTTCCAAGAATTATTGACATAAYGTAGTCTTGTGCATGAGCTGTTGCTATATCACTAAATTTAGAAATA